TCTCAATTAAGATGGGTACGAGCAAATTGAAGGCGTGCTTGTCGGTGAGCTACCGTGAGTTTCGGGCCTGTGACAGGCCTTTTTGGAGTCAGATTCGCTTGCTTGAGTCGTCAACGAACTGTCCACTTGCTGGCTGCTACCCTACGAACATCTCGGAGCTCCTGTTGGACGTCGACACCAGGTTGATGCCGATTTCGGAGAGAGGTTAACACGATAAAACGATCATTCCTCTCCGATGTGCCCCGGCGCCGTCCAGATCTTGGTCTCGGGATAAAGTTACCAGTCTCCTGAAAGCGCTTGCAAACTTTTGAAACACAGGAATGGCTTATTTGGAGCTGACGAGCGACAACCCGCTGGCTGAGTTCTTCTTGCAATAGGGCTACGATTTGTGCTACTTCTCTAGGTGTTGTCCCAATTGTGGTACAAGGTAAAGGGTCAAAAGTAGCGGAGATATGTACCGGTCAACGTGTGAAAGTCGACTGATAAAGAAAATCCGATAACAGGTGCTTTTATAGGGGTCAATAGGCCGCAACTCGCGACGTATCAAATAATTAAAACACGTCTTTTTCGTTATTCCTTCACTTAATCCAAGATAGCTTCTTAAATACTGGCTTGATTTTAATGAATTTGGTATCAGTTTAAAGTTAAGAGTTCAACCTTTAAAATGATCGCATTTTTATGATTATCAAAAAAATATTTAGTACACAAGATCGCGCGGAACCAATTTCAAGTAAGTGATTCCAAACTTTTGCTCGCGAGTGTATATAGATAACAAACAAGACAAAGAGCAAACATATGTGTTCATCTCATAACGTTTGCCTGATGTGGGAATCGAACCTGCGACTCTCGGCGCGATAGTCAGTCATGAATGTCAGCAATGACAGGGGCAGACAGAGCCAAGCCGCTGCCTACCGTACCCTTCACAAGCTTAGTTTGAAGAAGGACATGTCTGTCATGTTATGAAACGCACTGTAACTGAATGCAATGGTTTTAGGTAAAATGGAGGTTATTTACTGAGACTTTTTCGGTGGACTATTCTGAAGAAATCGAGTATCTACGTCCAGCGACTTTGTTTCATTTTAACAATTAATAAACTACTATCATTACACATTCAAACCCGAAGAAACGCTGAATTCACAAATTAAAATAATTCACACAACTTCATTCCACACATTCCCGCCAAAACAGTTTCTGCGGGCTCAAAAGACGGCCTACCACTAGTAAAATGTACGAATGGCAATACAGCCGTTGTACTAAACCGCCAATATAAATATCTGAAACCTCAATTTTAAGTCGATGTAACTAAAGCAGATAGGACGTAGTGAGTTTTCAGTTCCTATAAAATTAAAAAAATAAATTTGGCGGAGCAACGCACACGAACAATTTGAGTCCGATTTTTATTCTACTTATTCCAGTAGCCTCGAGGGGTTATTCTAGATTTACTGAACTAGTAGATGAGCTCACGGGGCTCAAACCTGATGACGTTGCTAACACGAACCCTAGCAAGAGCCGTGCTTCGCAGAATCTACCACCGGATCGGAAACGCGACACACTGAGAAGATCCGGCGAGAAACTCAGTGGGCTTGCGTCCGGCCGTATCGTATGTATGACTGTACCTGTGCAGCATTATCAATATGCTGGTTTTGACTTTCTTCGATGCGTTGTACCATCCACATTTGTAAAGGGCATCAGATACTCCTTCACTCTGCAAATAAATCGATGAAAGATCAATTAATTAAAAGGCTTTGACATTTTATAATCATTTTGCTGACTTTAAAAAACTATTTTTGTATCAATATCTTTCTTATAGTCTCGTCAAGTCATCCGCGAATTTGTCAAAAATTAAATTTAGTAGTAGAAATTAAATAAAAAACCTTGGTTATTTTTAATGTTCTAGATTCGATGTAGGTCCTTGAACATAATGTTTTTACTCAATGTGTTTGTTCTTTATGTACAAAATGCTTTTGTTTTAAAATAACTAGTCTTTCTTAGTGGGCTCATTCTTAACCTTTATCTATTATACATAATTGGTTTTTAAGATTTATCTTTAGCTTAAAGAAAACAGTGAAATAAAACTTATTTCTCTTAACGCTCTGCAAGAAAGTTCTTTGTGGCTCAATATAGCCTTGTTCCGTAGTGAATATGCTCATCTTCAGTTAATTACTACTAGATACGTACAGAGTCTAGAAGTTTCTGCCCGTACCAACACAGGAACCAGATTTGTGACAGTGTTGTCAGCAAGAAAGACTTGTATGCCGTTTCGTTCCATTTTTCCACCACCTACGTAATAGAAAACAAAATCATTGTCTATTCAATGACGAATTACTGGCTCTGGTGGGAATCTAAGCTGAGTCTTCCTTGACGGCGGTTAGTAAGCTGTCTTTAGCATCTAGTGTCGTCATCACTACGACATCACAGCAATGCTTTCCGAGACTAACACATTTCGACAATAATGCATTTCAATCGGGTCGTTGTGTTCCTTGCAAAAGGCATAAATAGATAGATCTAGAATTTAAATTAAAAAGTATTATTTTACTTTTTCGTTATTGCATTAGTATTCTGTTTTTTTTTGTTTTTCCTACTTAAGCTGGTAGCCTTGAAAGGCTATATCAGCGTCGCCTTACCCAGTAGGTGAGCTCACGGGGCTCCAAACTGATGACGTTGCTATAACGAACCTTAGCAAGAGCAGTGCTTCGCAGAATCTACCACCGGACCGGAAACGCGACCCACTGAGAAGATCCGGCGAGAAACTCAGTGGGCTGTGTCTGTGGGTTAATTTACTCGTCGAGCCGTTCGTCGCAAGCGACGGGTTCGACGAGAACGATGACCGGTGCTTGAGGTACCTAAAAGCACCGTTAGTGGATCGGGTAGTATTCTGAGAGTCCATAATAGACACCTCCAAGACTGGTCATTAAAAGATTCGCATTGATAAAATTGTTTTTCATTATTTAAATTAGATTTTATTGTGAGACGAGAAATATTTAAAACACTCACGACACTGCAAAATCCGCAGAAGCAGATGAAAATGGAACTGTTCAAGAAGTTGACCAGCAACGAGAAGCTGTACATATCCTCAACGTCTTTTGACAACCTGTCAATCATGACATCTGGTTTTAAAATCAATCAAGATCTTTTTTTTTTACTGCCTAGACGAGTGGACGATCTCACAGCCCATCTGGACATCTACGACGTAAATGCGCCGCCCATCTTGAGATATACGTTCTAAGGTCTCAAGTGTAGTTACAACAGCTGCCACACCCTTCAAACCGAAACGCATTACCGCTTCACGGCAGAAATAGGCGGGGTGGTGGTACCCACCCGTGCGGACTCACAATCCTACCACCAGTACCTGATCAGAGCGTGGTGCCGCTTGACGATCTCGGCCAGTTCTTGTTGTTGTTCCTTGATCTCTTGCTCGGCGCTCAGTCTCTCAGTGTCCTTACTGAGCATTCCTGTTCGTAAAAGTCAACTGTAATTAAGTTTCCCAATGTTTTTCGATACATTATAACCGATTCCCACTTGGGGCATACATTCGTGGGAACATTTAGTTTTTTTTTTTTTTATTGCTAGGATGGGTGGACGAGCTCACAGCCCACCTGGTGTTAAGTGGTTATTGGAGCCCATTGACATCTACAACGTAAACGCGCCACCCACTTTGAGATATAAGTTCTAAGGTCTCAGTATAGTTACAACAGCTGCCCCACCCTTCGAACCGAAACGCATTACTGCTTCACGGCCGAAATAGGCGCGGTGGTGGTACCTACCCGTGCGGACTCACAAGATGTCCTACCACCAGTAACCACCATCCATCACCAGTTATCAGCATCTTATCCTTTAGTTTATGGACTACTTCAACTTGAAACTTTAATAACGATATGTGGACTATCACTTACCCAGAGGAAAATGATCAGGCAGCTGCCGATCTACGGAGACGAGCACCAGCTTCTTGATCCTGACGGAGAGTAAGTCCAGCTGGGTCGTGATGTGACTCAGGAATAAACAGAACAGGAGATCTCCGGACATGTTCAGCCAAATAACAATAATCGCTACAAAGAACATCAAATTATAGTAACAAGCTTTTTCCCGCGACTTCGTCCGCGTGGAATAGTTCACAAATAATGCTTTATTTTAGAACAAATTTGGTTAGCATAAAAAACACGTTATAGTGAGCCAAACTTAACATATAGAGATATGCTGTCGCGAACTTTTTTTAGATCTTTTAAAGAGAAACAATTCTCTCATACATTACTTTAGCGAAACTTTAACAGTTTCCGCAGCGCACGCTGTGGAAGCTCCCAAAAGGGAAAAAAACCCCGATTTTGAAACATTCTTTATTAGTAGTTCCTGAGATTAGCGCGTTCAAATAAACAAACTCTTCAGCTTTATAATATTAGTATAGAAATATAGATTTGTCGTATCAAATTATAATGTAAAGGTCTTCAATTACTAGACTAGCTTGACTTAGTGTTTTTTCGGACTAAGCTTTAAGAATATCACCGTCCCCTTTGGGATATGAGGTTGCGATTTCAATTCTAATCAAGATGATTAACTTCGAGATAGCCGGGCGGTAGGGCCAAGCCTGTGAAGTAAAAAGCCCAGCCAGCATTAACATTTTTCGAATCTATGTATCTATACAAAATATAAGTATATACAAGTCGATTTGTATGTGTATGTATGTTTCCTATGGAGTCCGAAACAGCTGGACCGGTTTCGGTGAAATTTTCAGGAAATCCTTAGATTGGCCAAGCGGAAAACCACATCTAATTTGGTAGCGATCGAATCAATTATAGATAATCCTCCCCCTGGTTTGATATTAATTAACAAATAACTCGAAAAATATATTTTAAATCGGCAAAAAGTCTGGATACCACCACTATTTCTATCGCGTAGCACGCATATGTTTATAAATATGGTCTGAAATATGGTACAGCCTTTGTATCGATGCAAATGTGTACGATACTTTGCAAAGAATTGCTTAAATCACTTAGTAATAAATTAAGTAACAAATTAAAATAGTCACCCACCATGCCAAGTCTGTATTGTCAACAAGATCTCAAAGTATACCGGCTGGTTAGGGTTGAAAGGTAGCCAGTAGAAAAAGTGCAACATCATCTCCCATTCCCGCCCCAAGAAACCTTTGATCCGTTGAAAAAATGGAGGGCACAGGAAACTCACGAGCAAATAGTGATTGCAGTAATAATATCCTGGAAGTGAAACCCGTAAGAAATCGTTAAGTCTCAGTAATTTGGCACGGTGAAAAGTCAATAAATTCTGTTAAGTCAACGAGGGGTCATCCTTAATTTATCCCGCTAATAATTAAAAACTGTATTTCTCTTGTCTCACGAGCGAAGAAACGATTTTATTTTAGTCTTTAATTTGTCACATAAGGACAAATAAATATCTCAAAAACAATAAATACAGTCCACGCTCATTTACCACAACGCAACATTTGGAAAAAGTGTCATGGCGGACGGCGCTCGCTTACACTTTTCTCACAATGTCGTTCAGAAATTGAACACCTAAACTTGAGTGTAATATACCTTTAACAACGAAGTTAATTTGCTTGAGTGCCGAACTAATGATCTTGTGTTCTTCTTCTCCCACCGCGCCGTCGGGCCACATTCCACCGATCTCGTCGATTAGATTCTCGTAAACTGGACGGTATCGTACCATATTGAAGGATTTTATCAGGGCTGAAGGTAAACAATATGTTACAGTAATACATGTAATTCCAATTTTATAACTAAGCACGTCAGGCGAGAATGTTTTTCCTCCCTGTTTATATATTAGATAATTATTTGAGTATTTTAAGTATTTTGAATCTATTTCCAAATTTTCAGAGCTTAATATTACATAAAAATAAAACTAGATATTTTGTATGAAGTGGACAGATTTTTTACGGATGCTACGGATTTTTACGGATGCTTTTACGCTAAAGGTAGGAGACCGCGTCCTCGCGTTCACGGAGTATCCTTGTCTCCCATAACAAGGTTCGATGCTGACGGTTTAGGAGTTTACAAACTTACAAAGTACAGTGTATCCATTGCAGGGCATCATACGAAATATTTTGACTGCGTCGTCAAAGGTCCCGCCCCTCGCCGTGTCTAGCATGCCTAAGAACTCGAGACACATTGCAGCGAAAATATTCACGAATTCGAACCAGTAGTAGACGCTCCAGTATTTGCTAGAATCAAAAGTATCCATCAATTAGCTTGTAAGTACTTTTTTTCCTACCTATGCTTTTGCGATCCACTGAGAAGATCCGGCGAGAAACTCAGTGGGCTGTGTCTGTGGGTTAATTTACTCGCCGAGCCCTTCGTCGCAAGCGACGGGTCCGACGGGAACGATGACCGGTGCTTGAGGTACCTAAAAGCACCATTAGTGGATTGGGAGGATCCGAGATGACGTATTTTGGGCGACGTCGACTGTTTTCCATTTGGTCCGCAGGATCAGCTATGTAGTTACCGGCGGCCACGATGAGAGGGTTCTCGTGTCGTGCCGCTTTGTCGAAATGGTACTTGTTAGTACAAGTAATCCTTCTATAACACGGTAGATACGTTCCTACAAAGTCCCGTGTTGTGCGAAATCGTGTTATATAAAACTAGAAGCAGAGTAATTTTTAGAGAAAAGTATTTTGTATGAATGAATCATCTCAACTATGTCTGTACCTATGTATGTTTTTACCTATTATGCATAAAAAATAAGCAGTAAAATTTCAGTTATTCCCATATATTGTGTGTGTAACGTAATTTTCTAAATAATTTTAAACAAAAATCTCATTATCGTGTTGTAAAAGTATAATAAGAGGTTTTTGGGGAATTTTTCTTTTCGTGTTAGAATGGAGCCGTGTTGTAAAATAACGGGTTACCTGTAGATCGTCGTACTAAATCAGACGACCCAAGTACGGGTTACGTATTAAAATTAACATTTGATTTGTGTGATTATTTAAAATAAACTAAAATGAAAAACCGAGGAATTAAATAAAATTTGAATTAACTAGGCATTTAATGTTTTTTTTTTCTGGAGTCCATAGACATCTACAACGTAAACGCGCCACCCACCTTGAGATATAAGTTCTAAGATCTCAGATCTCAGTAAACGGCCCCAGCCTTCAAACCGAAACGCATTACTGCTTCACGGCAGAAACAGGCAGGGTGGTGGTACCCACCCGCGCGGACTCACAAGACGTCCTACCAGCAGTAAGCCTAGAACTGAAAAATAGTTTCAGCAAAAACAAACCCTTGTAATTCGGTTATTGTATGCGTCATCTTGATGCCGCTCCAGTGGAGAATCGCCTTCGGAGTTACAAACGTTTTATCGTAGTCATTTCTATTGTATACCTGTGAAATGATTCAGCAACTGTAGTTGAAAGGTAGCACATTTGCGTGATCTATTGTGTGCTTAGTGCGAGTTTTTTTAACGTTCTCGATAGCGTAAAAGTTAACTCTAATTTGTATGGGGCTGGAACAGCGTCCCTAGCGGCAAACGTAGGCAAACGTTGCAATCCCATACATATTTGAGTTTCCCCGAATCCTGATCACGCAGGAGCCAGTCACCGTCGACGCCCTAGACACGTCCTTACGGATCCATCAGATCCAATAACCTTTGCATTAGATGCCTTCAGCTCTAACACCAGGAGCAGGCTTAGGGACCTCGGTAACCGTACTCGTCGAACTCGACAAAGAGTTCGCCGTGTAACCTAACCCATGAATCAGCTCGCTGAGTTTCTCGCCGGATCTTTTCAGCGAGTCGCGATTCCGATCCGGTAGTAGATTCATTCGCGAAGCAACTACTCTTGAGCTGTTAGGTCTCCTTCGGAGGCACTCGGGTAGCTGTTAGCAAATCCCACCCCTCTTGGCTGAGCCTTTGCTCGCCCACCTGTCCTAGTGAAACTGGAAAGGCCACCGGGCCACCAGTAATCCTTCAATCATAAAAAAATATATATATTTGAGTTAACTTTTACGCTATCGAGAACGTTAAAAAACTCGCACTAAGCACACTGTTTCGAGTTGTCTTTATAATTGCGCGGAATTTTCATGAAAAAATGTTGTTTGCTTCCCCGCCATAGTTAGAAAACTGTTTAATGCACATTAAAATTAAAACGAAGACAAGGACAAACTTAATGTCTACCAAACTAACTCCGACACACAGTGGACTATTTTGAGGTAGTGGAAAAATAGTAACTATAATTAATTGCTTAAAGTATATATTTCTACTCATACCTGTGATATTGAGCTATTTTTCCACTTTTTCCTACCTATGCTGATAGCCTTGAGAGGCTATTTGAGCTTCACCCTAACGTTTGTAGGTGAGCTCGCGGGGCTCAAACCGGAGTGTTGCTAACACTGACTCTAGCAAGAGCAGTGCTTCGCAGAATCTACCACCGGATCGGAAACGCGACCCACTGAGAAGATCCGGCGAGAAACTCAGTGGGCTGTTTCTATGGGGTTAATTCGCTCGTCGAGCCCTTCGTCGCAAGCGCCGGCTCGACGAGGACGGTGACCGGTGCTTGTGGTGCCTAAAAGCACCGTTAATGGATCAGGAGGATCCGTAATGACGTGCTTTGGGCGACGTCGACGGTTTACCATTCGTACGGTTACCGAGGTCCCTAAGCTTGCTCCTAGCGTTAGTGAACTCTGCTGGGGGGGCGAGCCTAAGTAAAAACGAGATGACACAATAATCTAAAATAATTACATTTTTAGTATTAAAAAAAATACGAATTATTACAAATGAAGTTTGTATTAGAACAAAATAAATAAAAAATACGACAACGTTATTATTATATAAAAGTCAACTAAAACCCACGTCCGTTTTTGTTTTATGCTTACTTTGTCTAAATATTTCGGGTTTTTGGATAAAAAGATTTTTTTAAAAGACGTCATACTTCCAGAGTTTACCTTTGACGTCTACACTATTGCATACAGTCGAATTAAATTGTATGCAATTCGTGAGGTCGTCACCTGTGTGACAATATCTGATTGAAATTACACACTATGAATAACATAACGGCGTAGCGCTGTAATTATTACAAAACAAAGGCAATTTAGAAAAATAGCGCCTTTCATAGAAACGGTTGAAGCTATTAGGGTTTTGAGATAATGATAATATACCTATAGATTTTTTGTATGATATATCTTATTTATTCACAGCGAGACATCAAAAATGTACGTTTTCAAATATTCACCGTAAAATGTTGTTTCGTAATTATTTTACAGACACAGCCCACTGAGTTTCTCACTGGATCTTCTCAGTGGGTCGCGTTTCCGATCCGATGGTAGATTCTGCGAAGCACGGCTCTTGCTAGAGTTCGTGTTAGCAACGTCATCAGGTTTGAGCCCCGTGAGCTCACCTACTAATTCGGCGAATCTAGAATAACCCCTCGAGGTTACTAGAATAGGTAGGAAAAAAAAGGCTGAGATGATGATGGTGATGATCGAAAATTGACAATACAATTTATTGTTCTAATGATATTCAGCAAAGAATCTTCATAATAATGATTGGAAACAAGATAAAACAAAGCAGTGTCTTTTCTATACTAATATTATAAAGAGGAAAGATTTGTTTGTTTGTTTGTTTCGAATAGGCTCCGAAACTACTGGACCGATTTGAAAAATTCTTTTTCCATTAGAAGCCGACATTGTCCCTGATGAACATAGGCTATTTTTTTTAATTTTTTTTTTTGGTTTCATGTGTGTTTTAATGTTTCCGAAGTGAAGCGAGGGCGGGTCGCTATATTATACTAAGATCATACTAAATTTCATTATCGTGTTGTTAAATTGGAGAAAAAACCTCTTTTACCTTAATAATAAAAAGTTATGTGTTATTTAGAGAAATCAGGACACGAGTAGCCCTAATTTTTGTTGAACTGCAAATAACAGCACCTGCGTAGGTGCTATTATTTGCAGTTACATTTAATTGCTCAATACAATTAATATTTGAAAGTGTTTTGTTTTTCACGTGTCTTCCTACAGTAGAATAATTCTGTGGTATCATTTTTTTTATACCAATAATTTCGTGTAGAATGAAATTCACATAATTTGCATTGGAGAAAAAGTTAAAACTGTTGGAAGGTCGTGATGCTGTCCACGTATAATTGTCTATGATGCACTATATTTGAATTTGTAATATGTTCTTTTTACTTTTGATGTGCGGTGTCATTCTGAATTATATTTTCTCTTATACAAGTCAACACAATGTTTTCAAGTATTTAATTTACGTTTTAATTAATTGCTATAGCCGCTAGTCCACCCTATCAGTGGTAGCAGAGCGTGGTTACATAAATATCTAGTGGCAAATGGAAGAAGCATATTAAAATTTAAAATAGTAAGTAAATGAGAAAATAAAAAAAATTAAAATGAGCTCGAGTATCAGAAACATAGAACCGCTGACAAAATCAAACTATGATACCTGGTGCTTACAAGCACAGGCGATTCTCGTAAGATACGATTTGTGGGAATACGCTAGTGGTGCAAAAGCGTTAGCGGCAACTACGACTGCCGAAGAAAAGAGTGCGTTC